CTTGCAGACGGACGGCAAGGCAGGCTCGGGTGTGTCAGCCAGTGTCTCCGAGGTGTTCGTCGTCAAGGCTGAGCGAGTTCGTCGATCTGTCTGTCGATTCTTGTCTTGATTGGGATTGGGGATTCGATTTATGACCCGTGATGGGATCAGGGCGCAAGCGGCCTCGAAGCCGTCCTTCACTCCTCCCGGCCGTGCCGTGGTTCCAAGGCAAGGATATGGGTAAGATTTGATGTTGGGAGGGAAAGGGGACAAGAAGAGGAAAGAGTAAAGAAGAGAATAAACAAAAACCGGACCCCTCGCCCTAGATTGAAGAAATCGGATAGAAAGGGATGACGAAATCCGGCGGCGGCGGCGGCGGCGGCGGCGGCGGCGGCGAGCAGAGCTAAAAGAAGAGTTCCAATCCAGCGGTGTTTACCTCTTTTTGCATTTCGGCGGCGGCAGCAGCAGCAGCATGGAGCATGGAGCATGGAGCATGGAGCATGGAGCATGGAGCCCGCCCCGATGGAACGAACGCTAGCAACTGTATGTACGTACACTTTCAGCACAAGATTTCCGCCGCCGCTGCGACGCACGACACCACCGCCGCTGCCCACAAGTGCACCGCAACACCGGCACCACAGCACCACCCATGCAAGCAAAAAGCACATGAGCGACATCCACAATTCCCACATCGACATCCACACGGCTCGCCTCACCTGCTTTCCTATTTCTTGCACAAGCAGCACAACACATCACCGACTCCGATCCCATTAACAAATCGCCGGCTCGAACTCCAACAGACTTCATGATCATCCAAGAAACCCCTCCCTCACCCAAATTGCTCTCCCGTTCTCAAGATTGCGGGACTCCGCTTCTTCCTGAAACGAGCCACTCACATACCCAGCCTCGCGCCTCCTGGAACCGCGGTGTGTGGGGCATCTTCACAAAGAGGGGTTCCTCGACCGGGGTCGTCTCGTCTAACTGCCTAGCCAGGTCCGCCAAGGAGGAGGAGGAGGTTGGCTGGCGGAGAGTGACCGTCCATTGACCGCGTGAGGCCGTTGGGCGGTCAGGACAAGACGCGCTTCGATCAGCCACACGCGCACCATCCAATCGCGGCTGGAATTGTGCGATGTGATTGGCTCGGCGGCTGCGGGAGCGTCTTCATGGTCTTCAGGTCCACTCACGGCCATCTTTTGATTGATAATTGACGAAGAGAGAGCGAAGATCAGGGTGTTGGACCCGTGGACTCGGTATGGCTGCAGCGCCCGAGGGGACTTTGTCTTCAGCTCATTGAAGGTTGGGCCCTACGAGGGCGGCGATTGGCTCCTCAAGACGAAAGGTCTGAAATGGAAGGATGAATGAAAAGGCCCATTTTCACCTTCACCACCATCAGCAGCACATCATCGCTATCATCACCATCTCGACTCTGCACTGCGTCATCAACACCTACCTGCCGCCAGATAACTCGCATACAGAACCCCTCCTCGTTTCTAAGGAGAACAACAGCAAACTCACATCATCCCTCACATCATTCAGCTCCCACTTATTCCTGACCGCCTGCAAGATCGCGATGAGTTGTCCATCACCAGTTCCACTGTTGCCTGTGTGCAATATGCACGAGCGATGAATCGGTGATGCCCACTTGAGAGATCTGCTGCACATCTACAAATCTGCAACTTGCATCGGATCGCAGTCTGTCGGTCGCTGCGCTGACTTGCTGTTGCTGCAGTCTTTTTTGTTTTTTTTTTTTTTTTTTTTTTCGCCGCAGCTGCTCTGGTGAAGCAAACCGACTGGTCGAAACCTCAAAAATAACTCCATCTCCGCCACCGCGGAACTATCCAGCTCTTCCCGGCGGTCAAGAAAAGAGTACCCCTGGAATGGGGTCGGCGGGCTTCCTTTCGGTAGCGTCTGCTATGGGGGATGGAGATGGAGGCTCCATCAACTCCTCCTCCATCAACTCCTCCTCCTCCTCCTCAGGAAGGAAGGAGGGGCAGAGCAAGGGCCAGGTCCAGCCCTGGCCAGGGCCCCAGGGCCACCGGTGAGCAGCTGAGAGCTGGGCGACGTGATCCTCAGATGACCGATGGACTGAGCGCTGAGCACTGAACCCGAGGCTTGTGCTCTGCGTTGTGTTGTGTTGTAAGAAAAACATAACACCACATTTGTGATTGTTGCGATGAATCCTTTGCTCTATGCCCTTGGTTGCGAGTTGCAGTTCCGCCGTTGCTTCCAACGACGGCAATGCTCGTCGTTGTCATGTCAAGTCATTGGCAACATCAGCCCCAACTGCATCCCAAACCTTGGTATGCAGGAACACAATCTCTCATCCCTCCCTCGCTGTTCTCGAAGCACCTCCAAGCCACGATCCCCCTTGCAGGAAGCTGTCATGTCGGGTCACGAGCTTCTGGATGTCCCTAAGTTTTTTTTTTTTAGTTTTTTTTTTGGTGTGAGCTTTTTTGAACTTGTGTACACCAGAAATCCGGTTTCTACGGCTCTGCGCTTTGGCATTGCGAGTTGCAACAAATTGTCTCAAACCTTCCGTTGTGCAAATCCCAAAGGTGACGATCCAATGATGGACGCGATGATGAATGCGGGGATTGCCAGCCGAATGCTGCGAACGGGAAGCTCGGCGTAGCGACCGAGCAACAGCGGAGACAACGGAGATGGCGGACGGGATCCTCCGCCGCTTCCGCAATCCAAGCAATCCTTTCTTTCAAATAGAATACAAAAAAGGCTCATCCTCATCTCGTGGGATGCCGGTCATTCAATCTTCATAACAATATCTCCCCCTCGGAGAATTCCTCAAAGGTCAAAACGGCCGATGCAAGGCCGCATCGTCCTCATTGACCTCGTTCAAGACTCAAACATTCTGTCAAAGAAAATTCTTCTGTTCTTGTTACTCTCTGCAACGTAATCAATCTGCAACCGCCACCACGGGACGACCTTGGGGCCGAACATTAAAACTTTTTTTTCTTACCTACTGCACCCCCTCACCTCGGATTCTCTCGATCCCCGCGGTCGGTGAGGTATGCCCTGCCTACCGGGGCGGGTTGCCGAGCACACTCCACATCAAAGCGACGAGCGAAGCAATGCATCTTTTTTTTATCTTCCCATCCAGGCGGGGAGGGCAGAATGTTCTCCAGGATCATGTCTAAGTGACCAAGTATAAGTAAGCCATAAACCACCTCGCATCAATACGAAGTATACAACCTACGTTGTGGCTGTCCTTGCCTCGACAATGCCTTAGACAAGATAAAAAAAAAGGGGGGGGGGGAGGGGCCAAATGAAAGAAACACAACCAACTCCCGACATTCTCTCCAAAGCCCGGAGATGGGACGATGAGATGCTATTCACGATTCCCACCACAATGAGGAGACGAGCGTAACAGTGGAGTTGAAACACCTGCCCCACGGTTCGAACTTTTGGTCAACGGTGCATGGAGCGAACAAGCAGGCGGTGAAGCCCTGCTAAGTGGGGTGGGGCCCTCTTGCGACAACAGAAAAAAAAAGGCGGTGGCGGTCAAGATGAGGCAGATTCCGGCCCCTCGTCCATGAAAATGAGAGATTGTCTCTCTGCAGGCGAACTAACAAGGAAAGCTTTTGAGTCCAGAATTTCTGTCCCTCGAATGATGAAGAAAAGACGAGATTCGATCCGATCGGCCACGAGAATAAAAATTTCGATGGTTCAAATATCGTGACATGATTTGATATCCCTGATGAGATCGCGAGAACCTCTGCCCCTCTGACAAAAGAGGAGGGGTTGCTTCTTGTCCCTGCCTTTTTCTTCCTTCTTTCTCCTCCCCCGATGTCACGGACAATGCATCCCTATCTCTGAATCTGCGAGATAGGATAAAGTAAGGTGACGACCACTCCGTAGCTGCGTCTGAACCTCCTCAGGCTCAGAGACAAGTGAACGCCTTCCCTGGCTCGTTGCCGCGCTTTCCCTTCGATCGCTGTGCAGCGCACGCAGCACAGCGACCAGGCCTAGCAACAGTGTTTTCCTGCATGAACG